TTCTGAACTCGAAGAAAGAGAGAAAGCTCTTCACCTTCAAGGAAGGCAAGCTGATACAGAACAAGATCGCGTACGCGCGCGATCTCAAGAAGATGATAGCCGTGCCCGGCATCGAGTCGCCCTTTCCTTACATCGGCGATACCAAGTCATACATGCAATTCGGCAAATACTATCCGGACACGAGGTTGACGGCGAAGGAGTTCTGTCGAAAGCTGTTCACGAGTTCCCGCGACAACGACTCGACGCGAAAGTTGATGTTGAAGAAGGATACCGGTCTCGACGACGAAGACTTCGAAAAGCTCGTACGTGCTTGTTTTTTCGTGAAGAACGTCGAGATCGGAACCACGTACCGGCTCTTGCGGTACGTGGCCGATATCGAGTTTAGGAGTCCGGCGTTGCATCTCGTCTTGACCTGTCTCGTGTACGGGCGCGTCGTGCACCACCTCGCCGCCGAGGACCTCCCTCTGCGACCATGCACGTGGACTCTCCTCTTCGGACGCAGCAAGGAGATCGTCGAACAATGGAGCGACGAAAGGATCGAAGCCGAGATTGTCAACGCCGAACGAGTTTGGGAGGACAATCTGCTCGTCGCGGGACACGCGCAATACCTGAACATCGGAATGAAGGAAGATAGAGCGAGCGTCGCGTGGCTGAAGAAGACGGCGGAGGTGATAGAGTCGGAGTTCGCGAGTTTCGAGAAGGTGGCGTTAGACGTGGATTTCGACCGACTGTTCGGATCCGTCGTTTCTTACGTACAAGAACGCGATTTCCTCAAAGACAGATTGAGAGACGACAATCTCGTAAGGAGCGTCGTTGACGAACTGGAGGAATTCCGGTCGCAACTGCCCCCTTTCGGGACACCGACGGGAGACGACCCACCGAGACAGGACTGCTGTCATTACGAAGCGAACGTCTCGGCAATTTTGCTGAACGTCCTCTGCAAGTTCCCTTCCACACGTATGATGGGTGCGTCGATAGCGTTGGACGCGCCGACTAAAAGCGTGGAAGCGGCCGAGAGATGTCGGTACGATCTTTCGGAAGCCAGCTATCGAAATTTCTTCGGTTAGAAGAGAGGGTTCCAAGCCGGTCGCGTCCAGACGAGCGTCCGTCGACGTCCGACGATCGAGGAGATTCCGGCGCCGCCGACGAGCTCTTCGACACTTTGGAACGGTACGACGACGGAGAAGAAGAGAATGCCTTCGTCACGCCACCGACGACTACGGAGGAGTTGGAGGTCCCGACGTTACCTGCGGAGCGTGCACCGCAGCAACGGGAGCAACAGTATGCGGAATCCGTGTTGGATTCCGAAGCCCTCGGCGACCTTCCCGTGATCACTGAACCTGAGGAAACGACGGGAACTGGAAGGAGAGTGGGCGACCGCAAAGGCCCTCCATCTAATCTCCCGTACGACTTCAATTCGCAGGACTATCGCGACATGGATGAAACAATCGAAAGAGAAGCCGCCAACGAGGACGACGACGCCTACGATGACGACGGGGCAGCGACGCCGACGGGAGATATTCCACCTTACGTGGACGAGGAAAGTTCGCTATTGACGCCAAACGTGAGGTAGGTGGACGCGAACTGGAAGCAGTACACTTCTGGATTTCTTCGGGAAAACGAAAACGACGATCTGGAGTGGGATCCGTCTCAAGACGGTCGACGAGTTCCAGACGAACCGGAGACGTACTCGAGACCCACGTCGTCTTCGACGCCGGCGACTCCCAAGTCCGTCTCACTGGAAGATCTCGATGCGCACCGTCAAGAATCGGCGATGGAGAACGAACGTACGTTGGAACTGGGCAACCAGAAGCTGAACGAGGTGCAGGACAAACTTGCGGAAAAGGAACTAAAACTGACCGAAGCCAGAGTCGTTATACAGAAATTAAAAGACGAAATACACGAGGCGAAGATGTCCGCGTTGAGAGAATCGTCTGACGTTCGCAGCATCGCGGAGGAAGAGGTCGAACGTCTCAAGACAGAACTCGCTTCAAAGACGGATGCCCTGAAGGAAAGGGATCTAGACGTGGTTCGCTTGGAATCGGATCTGAAAGCCGCGAGGAGAAAGTCGAAGCAGCCGCCACAGGAAGAGAGCGGCAGCGAGCTGCAGCAAAAGCTGCAGGAAGCCGTCCGCAAACTGAAAGACCGGGAGAGATCGCACGCCGACATGAAAGAGGAGTTGGAAGAGAAAGACGACAAAATCAGCGTGCTGAAGAAAGAGTCGACGCTCGCCAAGACAGCGATGTCCATGTACGAAAAGCGGGTGGATGTCTTGGAAGAAAACCTGAAAACGGCTTGCAAGCGATACGACTAGGAAGTGAAAAGCAGACGGATTGTAGAGGCGGCCGCGAAAAAGGCAGACGAGCACGCGCAATCCATGGCCGACAAGAACGTCGAATTGCAGCGAGAACTGTTAAGACGGCAACCCGAGGAGTCGTTGTACGAAATGGAAGTGAACATCGGAGAGAAGGAGGAGTTCCGGCGAGCGCAATCCGATCTGGAGGAGGAACGGAAGACGGTTATGCGATTGAAGAGTGCGATCGAGGACCTGAAAAAGGAACAAACGCGTCATTCGGAGGTTTTTCGAGAGAACAGGAACCTCAAGGAGGAGGTGGAAGCGAACGCCAGGAAGATCGAAAGTATCGACGACGAACTTCGCGCGTCAAAACGGACGCTCTGCGACAGAGACAGACTGATTTCGGACAAAGATCGAGCGACGACCAACTTGAAGAAGGAAATCGCCGCTCTCAGGGACGAACTTGCTGCCGAAAAGGACAAGGTGGCAACAGCCGTGAAGGAACGCAGCGACGACGACGCCCGAAGTTCGGTGACGCTCGAGAAGATAAAAGACGAATTGCGACATGCGAACCGGGAAGCGGCAGCTGCAAAAGACCTCCAACGACGGTCGGCGACGAAGCTGGAAGAGACCGAGAAGCAGGTGGAGAGTCTGAAGGAACGGTTGGATGACAAAGGTCGCTCGACTGCCAATGCGAACAAGGAGATCGCCTCCCTCAGTGACGAACTTCGTGCCGAAAGGGAAAAGGTGGCAACGGCTTCCAAGGAACGCAGCGACGGCGACGCCTGACGTTCGGCAATTCTCGAAATGATCAAAGAGGATCTGCGACTGGCGACTCGCGAATTGGAGACTGCCAAAGACAGGGAACGACGGTCGGCGAAGAAGTTGGAAGAGAGCGAGAGGGAGGTCGAGAGTCTGAAGGAGTGGTTGAACGTAACGGAGAAGAATCACGAAGCGAACCTTCGCGAGTTTTGTTCTTCCGCCGAGTCCGACAAGGCGAAGGCGATCTCAGATCTGGAAACGGCCAAGGCCGATCACACAGACAGGACCGATATTCTCCGGACGGAGATTGCCGATTTTAAGGAAAAGCTGGCCGAGGCCACCCGAAAGGAGTCTTTGCTGATCAAGGATGTCAAGAAATTAACCGCCCTGACAGATGATAACGAAAAGGAGAGTAGGAGGATGGAAAAGCAGCTTTCCGATAAAGATCGCTCGGCTATCGATTTGCGGAACGAGATCGACACCCTGGAAGAGAAAATGAAACGGAACGAAAGTGAGATTGACGATCAAATGACGGCCTACAAAGAAGAGATTGAAAGAAACGTGAAGAGGATGAAAGAGTTGGACGCTACGATCGCGAAGAAGATTCGAGAGGCGGCCGGTCTCGAAGTCGAGATCGCCGTCCTCAAAGAAGGGAAGGAACTTGACGGACGGAAAATAAAATGGTTGGGGGTGCAGGTCGCTAACAAGGGACGCGAGGCGACCGCTCTCAAAGACGATATAGCCGCATTGCAAACGGACCTCTCGAGAGCGCGCGAAGAATGCGCGGACGACCGGAGTACCGAACTTTCCGTCATTCTAGAAAAGACGAAAGACGAACTGCGACGGACGTCTCGCGATCTGGCGGCCGCCAAGGAAGCCGAGATCAGGCTGAAGGCGAACCACGAAAACATCGAGAAGGAGATCCCGCAGTGGAAGCAATGGGTCGAAGAATTGGAAAAGGCACGAGACGAATCTCACGAATCCCACGCCAAGGAACTCGGATCGCTTCGTGACGATCTCGAGAGGGAGAAATCGGACGCTGAAACGAAACTTGCAACGGCGAAGGCGAGCCACTCGGACGATATCGAAAATCTTCGAACGCAGATATCTTTCCTTAAAGAAAAGGAATCAAAATTGAGAAGAGACACTGGTAAGTTGCATGCGGCCCTAAAGGAACGGGAAGAGAATTATCTCGATCGGATAGCTAAACTGGCCGCTTTCGATCGGGGAGGTCGGAGAGGCTGCAAGTATGCTCTGATATTATACGGTCACAACTTCAGACGTTAAACTTTCTCCCTCTTTCCTTTTTTTAGGTAGATAGGTCGGTAGATAGATAGATAAATATACACAGTATTTTTTCTTACGTAGATTTAGAATCAATAACAGACAATAAAATTAATACTCTTGGTAACAATAAATTACGTTTTTCGAATCTTTATTTACAATCATGTTTAACATCGATTTCAAAGTGTGTGAGTGTGTATGGCTGAATCTTTTGAAATAACAACAACATAGAAATAAATCACGAGAGAACGCTGAAATCGATCCTGTGGAGATTCGATTCCTCGACTTGGACCCATCTGAGTTTCGGCAAGATGACGTCCACGTTGACGTAGCGATATGCGAACTGCGTGCCGGTCTCGGCTAAAGTCAGACGACACTCGACCTGGTATTCGGGTTTGACGTCGACGAATCGAAAAGAGAACGAAGTTGCGTACTCGACGAGATCGACCTTCTTGCTTCCCAGCGGATCGATGCATCTCTGGCACACGTTGTTTATGGTGCACAGCACGCAATAGGGCCTTCCGTAGTGATTCGACGCTCCGACGCTC